TTACATTATGTACAATCGGAGTCGTGCAAAAGAAGGAAAGAGATAGCCTCACATACCTTGTATTTACTGCCCAACCTCAAGCTATGCAATTTCACGGCTCCTTAGTTTGCAATAAGAGAAATGACACTATCGTTATCGTTTAGGCGTCGTAACTATTATGTATCGAACACAACCTATTTTACGAGGAAACGGAAAACACCTCTACTATATATATGACTTCACACAAGTCAAAACAATCACCAAACAGCCCAAACAACATCAATAATAATTATATTGAGCCTCCCAAAATAGTCCGCACAACCTAATCACTTCATACATAAGACGACCACCGTAGTAGTATCAAATGACCCGAAAATGTTACAACGAACGACCAACAAACCACCCTTCCATTATGTGGTGCTTCTCCACACCCTTTCTCTTCTAAAATCCACAAAAACAGTTGCAAAAGATACAATCCAATAGCAACACAAAACAGCCCCACAAGTTCAGCAACTCAAAATTCATTTTTTAGTTTATTTAAACATGTTTCGACTTGTCTTTTCTTTCAAATTGAGAAACATAACCAAAAGTACATAATTAATCCTCTTATCCAGTAAACCAGCCATGAATTTAACTTAAAAATAAGTTCACCAACAGCCAACCATGATGCAAGGAGAAACAACATACCACTCTTTCGAAACTCGCTAGGTCTAGTTTTTACGATAGAGTTACAACTCGCAAACACATAGATAATGGAAGGAGGAGCATAACCTTACCTTATACTGAATATAACCCACAAAATCTGGTCCTTCTTAATCAAAAATCAGTTCCTCAACTTAGCTACAAGAAGGAGAAAGAGAAACTAGCAAGCTGTGGACTTTTCGGCACTAGAATCACGTCGTAACACTAGAAATACCCTAGGGTTTGTGTGGGATTTTTGGGGAGGAGTTGCAGGGGTTCAATTTGGTTTCGAAGGTCTGAAATATGGGTGAAATAACTGAGTTTATAATCCCTTAAGATTCCCTTCTTGGCTGACTTTGGGGCTTTTAATTTTGTCCTCTCATTTTGGCAAGTAGGTGATGCACCTACTTGTCACCTTACCAATCTGCACAGGCTCGCGAAAATATGAATATCTCTATACTCCGAGATCGTATTGATGAACAGTTTAATGCGTTAGAAACTAGACTCATAGATATTTAATTTGATGGGTAGATCATCCCATAGTTCTTAGTAAATTAGGAGAAAAGCTTAGTAACATTCGACCTAGAGTTTAAGTAAAACTATGAACCTAAGTTGCGACAACTTTTGTCGACTTTTGTTTCATAACTCGTTTGACTTCAAGACTTATGATTCGGATATTATATGATTCAAGTAAAACACAACCTCTTGGGTATATTAAGCACCGCTAGGTTTACCCAAAAATATGAGTTACAACATCCTTGATTCATTTAACTTCTAATACTTGTTAATCACCATGATACACCCTTCTATCACTTAAGACCAATAGGATTAACTTTTTATCATCTCAAAGATAATTCCTTATTGGATTTACGTTGACTAACTATGGCATGAACTAACGCGTGTGGATATGGATTGTAACATAAGGGGATGCCAAGGCCTGCGGACGCCTGCAAGACTACCTCGGGTCGCCTGATGGACTGAAGGCAGCAACCTCACTACGACACAAAAGCTGCAACACCGGGATCTGCACATAATGCAGAGTGTAGTATCAGCACAACCGGCCCCATATGCTTGTAAGTACCTAGCCTAACCTCGGCGAAGTAGTGACGAGTCTAGGGCAAGACTACCAAATAAAATTGTGCAGTTAAATCATATACAACGGAAAAATAAAGGCAGAAATTTACAGTTGAAAATAGGGGGGGGGGATAACATGTTGCGGGGAATATCAGGTAACAACAGAAAACCAATAGAAGAATGTAAAGAAAGTCATAATTCGATTATCAGCAAGAATCAAGAACTCAATAACACGTGCACGGCATCACCCTTCGTGTTTTACTCTCATCCTCACCATAAAAATTAATAGAATCGACACGACATCACCCTTCGTGCTTTTACCTCACATAATCATGGCACGGAATTATCCTTCGTGCATTATCACTTATATCATGGCACAATATCGTACATCATGCGGCACTACATCACCCTTCGTGCGTTTACCTCACAATCGTCATGACATCACCCTTCGTGCTTTTACCTCACATAATCATGGCACGGAATTATCCTTCGTGCATTATCACTTATATCATGGCACAATATCGTACATCATGCGGCACGACATCACCCTTCGTGCGTTTACCTCACAATCGTCATGACATCACCCTTCGTGCATTAACACTCTCAAAATCATGCACGACATCACCCTTCGTGCTTTACACTCTTCCTTACCCAAGCAACAATCACAAAGCAATTTGGGCAAGGGAATCAATAATATCACAATAAAATCATGGCAAGGGAACAATAACATAACAACGATATCCTGGCAAGAGAAAAAAATATCATGAGTAATAACATCACGGCAAGGGAGATAATATCAAAAGCAATAGTATCCCGACAAGGGAGACAATATCATAAATCTCTTCTCTTTTCCACAGTTACTTCACAACTCAATTCTCAACTTGAGCCAACGCTCCACAATGTTCAATTACCAATAATACTTCCACAAGCCTTGTTCAACAATAGAAATCATCATATAAAACATGAACAATACGAAACGGAGTCACATTGATCATAGTATAAAACTCACGGGCATGCTTGACACCAACATATAAATACTCGTCACCATGCCTATACGTCGTACTCAACAATTAACACATAGCAATTAAGACACAACTCCTAATCCCTCAAGCTAAGGTTAGACCAAACACTTACCTCAAAACCACGATCACAATCAAGCCTCAACTACCGCTTTACCTCTTGGTTCCATTTTCAATTTGCTTATATCTAGCCACAATTTACTTAATAATATTAGTAAATGCTAAATGAGACAATTCTAATGCATGAAAATAGGTTTTAAAGCAAATAACCAATACACAAAGAGATAATTTATGTCAAGTGATGTTATTTTTTTTATAATTATCCGATTCCTCGCAGTATTAATATATATATTTAGCAAAAGAATTCAACGAAGCAGNTATATATATATTTAATTTTTTTTTTAAAAAATAATATATTTTTGAGCTTCAATTAATATTTTCTAATGAATATATTTCAAAAACACATGAATAAGGTATTATTGTTTTTTGATATGATTCATTTTATTGGCAACGTCACTACAAACTCATTAGGTCACTCTTTTAAATGTGACATCGTTTAAAAAATATTTTGTGTACGCCCTCGATCATATACATTATTTTGTATCTGATAAGATCAAAATTAATCTCATGACACATTGTATATTTGTATCCATTATAACTAAAAATAAATGTTCAATTTTGCATGTCCAGACATTATCTAATCATCCAGACATTATCTAATCATTTTAGAGTCAATTGTCAAATTAGTCGAATACGTTCATTATTGATGATCTCGTATTTGTCCTTTCAAATTAATAGTCCCTTACGTTTTCCTCGAGGAGCCCCTCCACCCCCCTCCCCTTTGTTTTTTGGGTAAAAAAAACTTTACGTTACCTGTCCTAATTATTTAAGAAACTTCTTTTTTTTTTTAAAAAATTATTTAAGAAACTTCTATATTACTATTCCCGTTCTCCATAGTCCACAGTCACTCCATACAAATGTTTTGAAGAACAAAGAGCGGCACATATTCCCGCTCCCTTGAAATTTCTCTCCACTCAACTCCACTCCCAAAATCGCCCCGCCATCACCGCCGCTGCGCTGCCTTCCACGGCCGCAGTCATGGATTCCTCCACCGCCACTGCGCTCCTCACTGAACTTCAATCTTCCTCCAAATTCACCACCAATACCTACAATAACTTCTCCAATTACCTCCACGAATTCACTACTCTCTCCAAACCAAACAAGTCCTCAAAATCCACTGACGTTACTACTATCATCCGTTCACTTGCCAAACAGTTCCTTTCTTTCCTCAATAAAGCCCTAAGCCTTTTACCCAAACGTTTATCTGAATCGCCCAGAATTCCTGACGAATCTGCCCCTCACTTGTTCGACATTTACAGGTTGTGCCTTAACTGCCTTGAGTGTATCTCTTCGCAGCTGTCGTGTAAACCCTACACCATTCAAGCACAAAGAGTTCGGTACATTCATTGTCTGGAATCATGGGAGAAATACGAGGAAGCTGAATGTGAAGGACTCTCTGTACTTAAGGTTCTTCGCGATAATGCCATTGGTAAAACCAAGGCAGAAACAAAGAAGTCGAAATTAGTGGTGTCAACTCAGCAGCATTTGTTGCCTCAGTTGGCCGAAGAGAATGTGGATCAAGAATTTGCTCTGTTGGTTGTAGAGATTGTTGTTACACTTGTTAAGTGTGCTTCTTTAATTCAGAATAAGGCGGTCAGTGAATATCATGGACTTCTTGATTTGGTTAAAGAAGTTGCGCCATGGTTCAAGTGAGTCACTCTTGCCATTTATGATTGTATCTTATGTTGTTGATTAGTTCGTGAATTATTTGAACCTTATAAAAGATTATTGATAATTTTGAACCGTGCTATATTTTTTACAATGTGAGAGAATGTGTTTAACTGATTGGAGTTAACAACTTTGGATAATTCAGGGTTTTGGATGCAAATGCTCAGGATAAATTGCATCGGGTGCTTGTGACATATTTGAACAGAATAACAATGACTATGTTTGGGGACTTTACAAAATTCAGTGGGGATTTGGTGCGGGAATTTTGTAAAGAAGCCTTGTGTCAAATTAAAAATTCATCCTTAAACGATCAACTGTTCAAGGTGAATCTCTCATGTTCACATTCACCTTTTCTAGAATGTCTTTTCTGTCTAAGCTAACATGTATATGTATCACAGTTTGCAAGGAAGATATGCTCTTCTATCTTCTCACAAGAACTTGAGAAATGCTTTGGGGTTGTTGACACCTTAAAATATGTGCTGGATACCATGGCTGCAGAAATGAAGGTATTATATTGATCCCTTCATATATTATTGATCTTGAACAACGATATTCTGTTGTTTATAGGATCCAGTATTTATTCTTTTCATTTGCTTGATCTGCATTGTCCGATACACGGGGAGAGAATACAGTGGCATATACAAATGAATAATCTAAACTATAAAAAAATGAATAATTTATTAAGACGAGTAAGTGAGCAAGTTTACAATTTTCCATAGGACAAGGTAGGAGGACCTCATGCGTTCAATTGGACAGTTAAAGTACAGCGAACAAATTGCTGGCTCTGATTATATGGTAATTTAAGGCTGGACCAGCAATGAAATTACGAGGCTTCAGATGTTATGTGATCTGGTGAAGCTACTGATGTTGAGGTCAAATAATTCGAACTTAGGGCTGTTCTTGGTGCAAATCTGTGTTCAGTGTTGCGTCTGACCAGTGAGAAGGACATGGAGAGTTCGAAGGAACAAGAAGGAAATAAAATATTTTGACTGCCACCTAGATCCTACAGAAATCCTCCCAAACCGCAGGGTAAATTTGCATAAAATTCCACATGCTAAAACCAACAAAAGCTTCAACAAGCATTCATAAGCTTGTACTTAT